AATTTATTTTTGACCCACCATTTCTTACCATCACCACTTATTACCACCCATCACCACCACCCACCATCACCACCCATTTTAATTGAACAAATTTTAACAATTTTTGAAAAAAATAAATTTTAAAAAAAGTTACGTTTTAATCGGCCATTTTGAATCGGCCATTTTTAAATAAAATCACGATTTCATAAAAAATACCCACAAAAATCGTCTTTAGGATGAGCCCAGAAAGAAGTCTATATCTTTATTTTTCTGGAAGATATGAATTTTTGAACATTGGGGAAAAGAGGCTTCAATCGCCGGTAACACGCCAATTTTAATATAGGATACAAAAATATAGTTGCTTTTTATACATGATTATATATAATATAAACTTTCTGTATAGGTAATTTACGGCTTAAAAGTAAGTTAGTTGTGTTTAATTAATGTAAATATTATGTATATGTATATTTATACAATAAAATTAATTAAGTTTGCAAGCACTTTTTAGAATTAATATAAACTTGCATGTATACGTAATTACCTGCATGACGTTTAAGAGAAATAGGAAAGCGAGCAAGGTCAATGCACTCAGTGCAGCGCTACTTCCATTTTTTCCTTTGGAGCTTCTAAAATTCTCAGAAGAGCATTTCATAAAAAGATCACCTTTCCGCAAAATATGTATGTAAATTCCAATATTAATGAACTTTAAGTATAGTTTTAGGTATTTACTCTAACGTACCCACGATATCCGTAATGGTAGCCACCGTCACTGTGATAACGGTCGATAGGTATGTCCCAAGGAGTTTTTCCAAAGTTTCCAAAATTTGTTAAAGACTTGAATGTCATCTATTTGATAACAACAAAACAAAATAGATTCTTTACAAAATATTGATATTTTTTTAAATATTTATGTTTTAATGTACATATATATTGTACATTATTTTATAGGAATAACTAACACGTTTATATAAATATGTGAATTAATGTTGATTATACTATTTGTTTCATTTACCTTTAACGTAAATTATGCGAGGATAGTTCGAGAATCGAGTAAAGTTCGAGAAACTGAGCAACACTGAGACAATTCAAAGAACTGCTCCTTCAACGAGATTCAGTATGAAACTGTTCCATCGTAAGAAACAACTTTTGTCCGACAGGAAGGTACAGTTATGGTTTCTGAAGTCTTCACGCTCGTTGACGGTAACGCGAAACTTGATCTTTTCAGCCATCGTATTTTTAATATGTTACAAATGCTATATTTGTACACACACACACAACACACACACACACACACACACACACACACACACACACAGAAGAGCAGCTAATAAATTTAGAGCGGATATTAGAAGAAAGAAAGATAATATTTTGAGACATTAACACGAATAAATTAAATAGGGAAGGCTATTCAATAACGAAACTCATTCAATTACTGTCATTGTGAAATTTCAAATTTAAATTATCAAAAGATTTTTACATTTTCAAAATCATATTTGGTACACATCTTTAAGAAACTTTAATATTGCTAATATAATAATTAAAATCGTATTTTTTATTTCCACTTTTTAAATTTTCTATAACATCGCTGTTGTACCGATGATTTGTGGATATGTATAATGCGTGCGATATTGATATATAGTAATTAATATGTAGTGGTGTGTTCATATTTACTACCACAGCGATATTGCACGCATACATCGTAACACCTTTGTTTCGATGTATGCGTGCAATATCGCTGTGGTAGTAAATATGAACACACCACTACATATTAATTACTATATATCAATATCTTACTTTTCAAATAAGAACTTAAATTTTTCATATTATACATTTAAACCTAATTTTAAGAAGTCAACATTTGGTCATATAATTTGCAATTCAAACTGTTCTCATTTTGTACCAATAGGTTGCCAACGTATTGTATGAAGCAAATATTGGCATATGTTGACAGCTCTAGATGCTATATTGGACTAACAATAAGACAAGGAAACAGAATTTCTTAATTTTTTTTCGTTTTTATAAGTGACCCCTACCAGCCTGAGTTACATTAATGCCTATATTTTATTCGTGGAAAAAGATTATTATTAAATCTGTAAATTGCAATTATGTTAATGGTGTGTTGGAAAATAATCACAATTCGGTCGAAAAACAATCGACTTTAATAGGATCGCCTTAAGGTAAAAGAAAATTTTATTTTTCCTTTAATAAAATGTAAAATTTGAAATACGTACATATTTCATTAATAATTGAAATGTTAGTTGAAATAATAATAAATTATTAATTAAATATATGTTGTAGAAAGTGAATTCAAGTAATTAGTTAATTATATTTTCTATTCTTCATTTCTTTAAGGGTAATAGTAATATTTGAACAGAGTTCATCAAACACAACAAAATGCCGATCCTCTTTTTCCAACAGCTTTATACTAGCGCATCTTCCTTTCTATAAATCTAATATTATCGCTAATGTTCCATATACATACCGTACATTTAATGTTAAATGCGCAATGCAGCGTATGTGTAAATAACTTAGCCATTATTTGCAGTAATTGACATTGTAACTGATATATGTCAAAATTCAATTCTCTAGTAGGTCAGTGATGCGCAACGCGCAGCCCGCTAAGCAATTTTTTGCGGTTTGCCGAAACTCGTAGCCGAAAATAGAAAATTATATATTTTATTTTATGCAAAATAATAACATTATGCGATTCGTAGCCTCGATCATTTTCAAAACAATCTATGTATATAATTTTTGTATTTTCAGTTTTATTAATTTTTCGAAATGTTACATACAAGCCTATATTATAGCAAAAGAATAAATTAAATGAAATTTGTTTATATTGTGTGTATTTGTATGCACAACACACACACACACACACACACACGCGCGCGCGCGCGCGCGCGCGCGCGCGTGTATATGCACCGAAATAGCATATGCGGTCCGCAAGTTTTGCCTATATCTGAAATGGCCTTCAGTTTAAGAAAGGTTGCGCATCACTGTTTTAGATGAAAATAAATTAACGTAAAATTATCTTTCATATGTTTATAACATTGAAAATAATGAAAATAAAGTTTAACAAAATTACAAAAGAGTTTCAATCCAGTTAATATAATTGCAGGATCGAGTTTCATTTCTGTGGCAACTTTTCCGTCAATAACGATGAGATAAGTAGATGATTCTGTCAATAATGTTCTATTGATACGAATGCTACTGCTTTCATTATTTAATTTTATACTTTAAAGATATATTACATTTCAGATGTTGAACAGAGATTTTATTCATCACAAACATAAAACATATCAACAATAAAACTTGCGCTGCCTATTGTACATAAATGATCATCGTCGTCGAAAATATAAAAATACCAGAACTCGTGCCGAGTTCCAACCACAAATACTACGCCTACATTTAACACGCTCCATAAATAAAAATAAATATAATTGTGTAATCGACGTGGCGAAACTCGGCGATCGATACGAAAAGATACGTAATGTATAACTTTCAGTGATGAATAAGAGCAAACGAGAGAAACTTTATTAGATAAAATTTCATTAAAGTATTAGACGCGTTAATTCACAAAGAGAGCATAACTCTCAAACTTATCTGATTAAAAAAAAATTTTAATTTAATTTTCTTCGAGATAAGAACGTCTCGGGATTAGAGTGCCTACAAATGTTTAATTGCGACGTTGGAACGTTGCGGATTGATGTTAAAATGAATCTGCATTATTTAGCGCACATACACATATACACAGAGAGTATTCTGAAGAAATGATCAATCGTGAGTTTGAGCCGAGCTGACGAGCTAGCGAGATTCGATGCGAATCCCGGCTCGGTGCACGCCCGTGCCGTGAATCGTCGATTAAACCTATACTTTTATTTTAACATGACTTAGACCGTAGGACATCGGAAGCTCCATTGAAATCTGTGTTATCCGAATGCTCGAAAATGTCCTAAAAGACCTAACTTTCTGAAGTTTTTAGCCATTTTTTAGATAATTATGAGATATTATTTAGTTATACTTATAACACTTGGTGTTATTTAGTTACCCATAATGTATACAGATAGCTTGGATTATCTCTTCATTGTTGCAGTCTATTACTAGAAGACAATGAATAGAATGTACGAGATTGTTCGTGAAAGGCTTCGAGTTTAAATTCGATTGGCAAAGACAATCCGAAATCCCGCGGAATCTAAGCCACGTACGACAGAACGCTGCGGGGATAAATTTGCTCAGACAGCGTTGCAATCCATAAAGAGAGTTCTGCAATCCTCGCCCGTACGACCGCGTCGTCCTGCCTCGTATAAGGCTTCCAAGCCGACGCCGCTTTGCCTCTGCAGAAGATAGCTCGTTGCGTACCTGCGGGGAAGTCAAAGTTTGATCTTTGTAACTATCCATTATCATAATTCTTGTTATAATTTCAACATGATACAAAAATGATGAAACGCTATTCGCAATGTTCGCTTTACAGAGCGAGCGTAAATTTAGAGTTAGAGTTTATACGCTATCGTTTTATTGCACTTAATTTATATTCGAGATATAGATAAAAAGATTAAACACAAAAATGGACACTCACGATCCAAGTTGGCAGAAGATCGATGATGGACCTTGCGTATCAGCGATACATTCCGCACTGGCCTCACAAAGTGCTCTCTCGGCGCATCCACGCTGTCCCTCCTCCTCCGCACGACCGACGTAACTAAAGGACTTGACGGATCTCATGTAGCCCTAGCGAATCAAGTTTATAATTACAATCCTGAGATATTTATTTTTGCCCAAGGTGTAAATTTATTACATTTAATTTAATTATACATCATCTTCTCTTCTTTCCATTGCAGAGAAAATACACACTTCTTACCAAAGTATTAATTTACAATACCAATAATCGTGTAATAACATAAAGATGCTAAATAATTACGTAATAACTATATAAAGTGAGGTATATAATTAATTATATTACATTATTATACAATTGTAAATGGCTGCGTCTAATAATCTAATAATATTATTATTATATTTAAAAACGACGCAATTTTCTAGATTGTATTGTTACAACAAATCTCGCAAATGGAGTATTGTTTCAATTGTCGTTTGTCGGTGTTATCAATATAAAATATTCATAATCATTTATATTTACCTTCAGCATAGAGATCGATGCTATCGCAGCTTCGGAAACGGTGTCGCGTCTTCCAAGTGAGCGAGCAGTCAGAGAACGATGAGAGAACGATGTTTTCAGGGCGTCCAGTAGGTTGATGACTATACTGATGAACTGCTTAATAACACGGATAAACAAAGATGTAAGCGAATTTATTCACAGATTCGAGGTGTGCTTATGCTCGGAAAAAGAATATATATATATGCGTCCGACGGTTAAGCAGGGTATATATAGATACACGCGAAATTATAATCTGTCACCATATTATACTGCTGCAGCTATAGCTAGAATTGGTTTCCGAAATTATTATTATTAAAGCGCAGGTGATACTCGATAGAGACTGATCATGCCCTGCATAAAAGATCCGATAGATAATGATAGAAATAGATTTAAATTTTATTGAAATTTTATCTAATTTTATAGTAAAGTTATCGTTTCTATCGGACTAACTTTTGAGCTATTGTAGAGAAGTTATCTATTTCTATCTTATTATTATATTATTCTTTTCTTTCTTATTAGTATATCTTACTTAAACATTAAATATACTTAAATACAAATTTGAATGTGTATGTTTTTTTATATAATTATTATCGAGTTACCTAATCCAAACTGAGAGAAAATTATGATTTGTTACATATTTTATTATATTTGTAAAAAATATTAAAATTATTTATATATAAAAGACACAAAATTTCTAAAATTAAAATATTACATAATAAATCATACATAAACTGAAAACATTGTACGATAATATCAATTTTGACTAAATATGGTCAAAGATAAACATTACTTAAAATGACTTTTAAATTATATATTGAATAGAATAAAAAAAGATAACAAAGATCTGATATTTACGAACCAAAAACACGATAACATTGTATAGGTTTCTATTTATCTAATACTATTGGATCTTTTAAACAGAGTGATTATAGTATATGACTAGTTATAGACTATAGTTATAGACTCTTTCTTTCATATTGTGTCTCGTGCAAAGTTGCTCGAGACCTGTCTAATTTGCGTTGCAGTTATTTAAAATAATTCTTATATTCGTATTGTATGTACAATACAAATACTGAGAATGGGTGGTAATTACGAGTTAATTACAACAATTAACATGTGTTAAAAGCGACGGCTCGATTATAAATATACATAAATTAATTAGCAAGTATAAGCTACAAGCGCATCAGAGACGCGGTCAAGCAAAACTTATACCTCTCTTTCTATGTTTCGATATTCTCGACAAAGTAGGCGTATGTCAAAGAGTAAAACACGCATTTATAGCTTTCGGTCTAAAGCGAGATGAAAGAGTTTGCAAGAGTTTGGATTCCCTGGTGGAAAAAATTTTCAAAATATTTTATAATGTTTTCAAGAATTTGTTTTTGTTTTAATTTATAAATTGAATTTTGAAAAAATACTTAAACTTTTTCAGATTTTAATTTTCTTCAGGAATTATAGAATCTTGGAATATATTTCACAATTCACATACTTATACGATATATGAAGAATTCCAGAAAAGATATAGACTTTTTCAGTGTTCCTTTAACACTTTTAAAAAGTGTTCCAATTCCATCTGAAATCTAAGCAATTTTCTAAAAAGTTATTTAATTGTACAGAAATTCTGAAAAATTTTGAAATTCATACATATATGTATATAAAAATTTTGGAATATTATATGACGAATTCTAAGAAAAATTTTTACAAGGATTGAATGTTATTGTTCAATCAATTCGTTCGTAGACTCGTATATACGTACTAACCTCGGAGGCATTTTTCGCCATTACAGCAACCTGTTCGGGATCTCTGCCCTGTCCTAGAAACGCGCCCAGCACCGCAGTCAAAATTTCCTAAACCGACACCAGCCATATGTGCGCTAAGTTCAAGTTCGACAATTATTTACAAGGAATGTGAGGGAGCGCAAAGTGAAAGCGTCTGTTTTCATCTGGTGCTAATGTCGCACGTTTGGATTCTTATTTATTGATAATAGAGTGAATTGATGGGATGCGGCTGGAAAAGAAAAGAGCGCGTAGGAAAGTACACGCGGTCTTGCTTTGACAGTGATAGTGTAATGAATAGAAAAGAAAAATGTGCAGATATTACAATCTTTACTCTATGGCGCAGAATAATATTAAATTTTACATTTTTATCGAATATTAACGCATTGCCAAGTTATGTCATGTCCATCAATATCTAATTCACATTTTAATCAGCAGAAAGTAAACTTATACAATATAAGTACATTAACTGTGCTATCAATAAAGTTACAGTTAAATTTTGCTTTATTTGAGAGTTTTCACCTATTTTACAATCATCTATCTATCTCAATTATACTTTGAATGTAATTGTCAAACACAAGATCGAAACAAAGTGAAACGCCGTTGAATTTCCGGTGGCTAGACAAATTAAATTGTGTAGAAAACGTAAAGATGGTGTGACGCAAGTACGCAAAAATAATGGTCCGCCGTAATTAGGACAATTATTCGACGCAGCCTTTCCTAGACGTTGTACACGGGTGGCTCGTCACAATAAGCAGTGCGTATTTCATGAATTTCTACCAAATGTTGGATTTAAATATGCCGTGAAACTTCAAACTGTAATACGAATTGTAACACGTACGAACTGCTCCCTCATCAGCTCTCTTCTCAATAATTATACAAATTTCATTATTAAGAAGCAGAATATAGTATACATAATAAAGTATAAAAAATGAAGATACACAATCATACATTCTAAATATTTTAATTGCAGAGGAACTAAATCCTCATGAATTATATCACATTAAATATTCTTTTATAAAAATACGGCAAAGAGATTGGTATTTGTAACACAAATCTAGCATTAGCTTTTTTTAGTTTATATATGTAAATCTATCTTTCACTGATTTGTCGCATTGTGAGAGAAAAAAGTCCTTCGTGAGAAGGGGGAAGGGGGGAAAGGCATTCAACATTTCAGATAACACGCTCGTTAAGTTTCACAGATTATAAGATCCTCTTTCGTGTCTACGTGCTATACGTGCTCTAATAGCATATTACAATCTACCTAGCATGGATGGTGACTTAAAGGGAACAGTCTCAACGTATTATACAGTTTCCCCGTCAGTCTCAAAGTGTAAGACTGACGTTCTCATTTCCATTCAAATTAATCATTGTCAGTTTCGCAAAATATAATATTCAAAATGGTACTGAGGTTCACGTTATAATTATGATGGAGTGTCATGATTATTTTCACTTACCTGCATGGGACTACTTTGATTGTCCACCTTGTCGATACCATCCACCGGTTGCTGGGGTCCGCCTAGCAGTGCTGTGAGAACCCTCAGACCCACGGAAAGCAGATTAGTCCACGGACTCACAGTCGCGCCATCATCTATTTCGTTTTTGCTGGGTCCGGTCGCACCTCCAGTCTGACTACCTAGCAACATTTGCATCAGCATTCCTAGCATATTGGACCACGAGAAACCGCTACTGCCACCCTCCTGCGCACAGAAAAACAAAAGTAATGTCAGTACAATACGACATATTAGCGGGGAAAAAGACAAGTTGCTATAATTTAAGAGATGTATTACAAGTGTATACTAAAAGATCGGATAATATACGTAGTTATTCTTTCGGCCTCTGGATGTATGTATGTATGTATCATTGCGCGATTGTATGTCTAACACCTAATACATATAGTAATATAATAATTAAATTAAATTATTTGTGCGTATATATAGGTGGGTGTATCTGTATATTTTACCTGAATCTGATTAGTACTAATATCCTCGAGATCATCGATCGCTACTTTTTTCATCGCATTCGGTTTCTCGGCGAATTTTCTCTCCTCTCTGATCTGTTGTTGATACTGCTGCGGGTATTGCTGCGTGTATTGAGGATGTTGCGGTAACGTCGCGACTTGTCCCAAGACAAGCGCGATTAAGCACAGTGATACGTATTGGTTATATTGCATTCTGTAAAAAGAAAGAGACATTTCTACTCTATCTTTAACGTATATATATGTAACAAATATCCATTAATTATAGAATGGATTTTTTGCTGAAAGAAAATTTCATCATCATTTTTCGCATAAATTTCGAATCTGTACTGATTTATACAAAGTGATAAGTGCAAAAACTTTTTACAGTTGGTTTTCATATAGCTGATATAGATACCGTGCGTACCACAAAAATATCACATTCGCACGCGCGTAGATTATACTATTGTTATATAATACCTATATTACATTGGCATTGTATATTTATATGAGATATGTATATAAAAATCCTGGTATAGAAATCTGAATGTTAAAGCAATGGCATGACTTATTTAGAAACACAGTAGAAAAAGATACATGATATAGGATTATGATGATTCAAAAACGAATGTATGTCACGGTAGTTAAAACGTGTGAGACAATGATCCTGGACAAAGTTGGATTAACGATGAATAATTCAATCGACATTCAAATTTATTTCTTTTGTCACATAAGAGAATAAATTTTGCGCAAGTAAAATAAAAAAATCCTTCGATAATAAAACTTTTATTATTTACGTAGAATTATATTGTTCTTATGTTGCTCCCCGAAGAATAATACATCTCAAGAATAAAACAATCATTATTAGATCCTATAAAGATAACGACAATGTGGATATTACTAAAACATAAAAAGAGGAAATTGTCCGTTTTCTTTTAAAGAAGAATATTGTGATAATATAAGTAATTATAAAATAATTCTTTATAATTAAAATAGATGTGCACAAATCTCGAGTTGGAACGATCACTGACAATTATCGCTGACGCAGCCATTAATTTAATTAACTACTGAACTACTTTACTATTTTATTACCTTGCATTATATATTTCACATTGTCCACAATAATACAGTTTACAATTTCATATATTAGTTTATATAAAGTAGATTGAATCTTAAATTTCCAATTTAATTGTGAAAGGAAATATGACAAATGAGAAACGAAAAAATGAAGAAGAGATTGTAAAAAATGGATTTTATAGGAATTACAAACGATCCTGAGCTTCACCTTGATCTTTCAGAACGAGAACCGGAAATGATTAAATATACATATTGTGAACGTAGTAGCAGAGTGCAAACCGAGAATGTTTGCACGATGCTGCTGAAAGTGTGTCACAGTGGTTAAGGTCGCCTCGACGGCAAGCATGCCGATCGCTCGTTAGCCCACTTCCCGGTGGCACGCTGGTACTGGTTTGTTGAACCCGACAGGTACCGTTACTTCAAAAGGCGGTCACGACCTACTACCGATCGCAGCAACGACCGGTTTTCGTGTCCGCCGGAAAAAGTAAAAAATAAAAAAATAAGAAATGAAAAAAGTACAAGAAGGGAAACAGTCGGTGATCGCTGCGATGATCAGCGCAGAGAGAAAAATCCATAAAATCGCGATTTATCTTACAAACGTCTATAATCTTTAGAAACTTTTCACTCTACATAAATAATAACATTATTGAGAAAAATTTCCATTATCTCATGAATCTATAAAATTCTATTAAATACCTAAAACTTGTTCGGCATTAAAAAGTTTTTTTATATCGCATTATTATATTATCGTTACACTTGCTACTTTTTCCGAAATCTTTGGTTTTCATGTTCGAGCATGTTTTCATTTCAACTTCGAGCTAATTGTAAGTGTTAGAGGGCATTCAAGGAAAAATGACTATTGATCTTCAGTGCGCAAGAGAGTTCTCATTTTATCTGAACCATTTTCTATTTAAAATTTGGGAAAACATTTTTATAAGTTAAACATTTTGTTATCTCATTTCTTTTTATTGGAAAAGGCACGTCTGATTGACATTATCATCGCAGTATGGCATTTAAAATTAATTATGCTTAAAACGATCTACAAAAATATCTTTTGTATATCGTTGATGATTTCAATGACAATTTATAGGTAATGCGCAAATTTGATTTGTGAATAAAATGATGAGTTAAATATTGATGACGACGAAGGTAACAAAGTGACGTTTGTGAAAGCAACGAGAAAGACTGCTCTCACTGACGACGAGAAACGATGAGTGGCGCGCCTTTGGAAAACGGTACACGTCACGGAGAAAAAATTACAAAACGAGTTTCTAACTGTATCTTTACACCTAACGACAAACATTTTCTACTTAGCTGCGCGCGATAGATCTAGATAAAAGAACTTGAAAAAACTTCTCACGCTGTGAGAAATATTTGTGAGTTACGACGAAATTATTGTGAGTGATTTCGCAATGACAATTTTTTAATGAAAATTAAGTCTGTAGAAAAAATATTTGTAGAGAAAATATTAACACATGATGAAAAATCATTCATGTGTTACTAAAATATTCTATATAAGAAACATTCGAGAGAATTATTCCGACCTTAATCACTATTCGCGAGAATGGAATTTTTAGAAATCTATTCTTCGGTAAAGCGGTGAAGCTTGATAAACATATCCATATAACAAATAAATATTAAGTAAAAAAACAAATAGATTATATTAGATAATGACAATATGACAAATAGAATATAGACATTAAAAATCCAAATTGCAAACTAGAATTTGATTCAAATAATTTTTATCCTTCTTTGTAAAAATAATTAGAATATTATAAATAATAAAAATAAAATGTTACAATATAAATATTATGTAGGGAAGAATTTAAATAATAAGTATGTTGAACGTGTAGCAGTATATGCGACAGAAATCAACAAAGATCCTAATTAAATGCCCTTTCTTAGATCTTAAAAAGGCGCATTATTTAGAGTTTGATAGAACATTTGCTAAAAGTTCACATGTTTGCTATAACTATGGATCAACTATAAATATAAGCATAGCAAATTTTTCTCTGTCTAGGAATTTAGAAAAAAATGTACAATTGTACAAATTGAGATATTTTTAATATGTTCTTATTGAAATGCAAACACGAATGTATATATGAACGATCTACGAGTTTAAGAGTAATGAAAAGCTATATTACTCACTTAGTTACTTTCCGGTGGATTTCCGTGACACTGACTCTCAGTTCTGAAGATGAAATTCCTCGCGGGGTCTTCTATATAGCTTGCGAGTACACATGTGGGGGTAAACCGTTCGGCCAATGACCACTCATCTTTGCAACCATTTTCAATGGAACTATCCAATTGCACTGGATTGATTGACGAGAATTCCGAAAGGTCATCTACTTATTGTTAGACGAAGAGCATTTTTCGTAGTTTCTTTGCAACAGAGAAAATATATTTCAAATCGACAACTTTGCAAATACACACATCCGAAATCGCTCTATCTTGCATTCTCCAGCGATTTCCACGTTTCATCTAGAATTCTTTCTATGCAACGGTATCATTATTATGGGACAAGATAGCGTTTGTAGCGCGCGATTTGTGTCACGTACGTATTCAATGTTTCTAAAGATTTAAATCCTAATTATTACACTGTTCAATAAAACATTACAACAAGATTATAGTCATTTCCCGTATTTTTTTTTTTGGACACTGAATCCGAATCTGTAGGTTGTAGAATTGTTCTATCATAATTTTGAAAAATTTGCAGGCAAAGTTGCAAAAAATATGGGCTATTTTTATATATATTTTATCATATTATAACTTTGAAATGCGGCGTGCTGGAGAAGTGTTCTTGCAATCAAAATTAAGTATATTGTTAGGTCTTTCAACCCTCAAAAGAAATTTTTTGTGTTCGTAATTATGGTTATAACAAGTTATTCATTGTTAAACACGGGGTTCATTGCGGAAAAGTTGTGAATTAAATCACTGATAATTTACCAAACAGTTTTCAGACTGATTGTGAGACTAGTCTCTTTATGGTGTTCTCAAAAAAGTCATTTTTTATTGTCGGTTACAGTTATCGGCGTCGTTATTGCACATATTTATTTCGCTTATGGCAATGTGTGCGAAGTGATCGTACATGTTTAAATTTTAAATACAACAGAGTTACGATATTGAACGGATAATTGAACAATCAAAATTGACAAATCGGTGCTAGTTATATATATACCTTAATTGAAAAAACCTTTAATTAAATAAATGTCTTTGTGTGTGACTTTCAATTAACATTATTATCGCTAATGTTCCATTGAGAGTAAGTCATTAAGCAAAAGCGCCAGAGTAGTTATCACATTTTGCGCTTCTTCTTAATTCACGTGTATCGATCTACAAGAGATTCTCTTATGTTAGTCAAGATCAGTAGAGGCTACCCTCACGAAATCAGTCAAGTACCCATTGACATCATTGAAATTAATTTGAAATCAGGTTACATCAGAATTCAGTTGAAGTTATTTTAACATCGAATTTAAGAAATCAAATTGAAATCACATAGTTAAACATGTGAAATCATTTGAAATCATTAGAAATCATCTAAAATCAAACAATCTACATACGAAAGCGTTCGAAAGCATTTCAGATTTATAAAAAATCGAAATCATTTTAAAATTACATGAAATCACATGAAATCACAAGAAATCAGAAATCAGAAATTAGCACCTTGTTCGTGTGTAACCCCTCGTCGGTAGATTGATTCATACGCGCGTGCATGCGTATGAACAACACACACACACACACACACACACGCACGCAAGCACGCACACACACACACACACACACACACACACACACACACAGTTGGTACAATCAAGTTAATTAAGAATTAATCAAAGATATTCTCTCTTACTTATGTCCATTTTTATTGATCAGTAAATTAATTTCGGTTTAAATTACTTTTTATCTTTTTCGAATTCTTCTACCGCAGAATTTTTCTATATTATTCTACATTAATAAAAATGGATATTATCTATATAGAGTTTCTTTTGAGCTCTCTTTCTCTCTCCCTCGCTGAGAGAGCTCTTGTCTCTCGTCGCAATTTAGCGTGACAAACAATTATGGTGAAAGAAGCGTGTATCTCGGTAATTTTTCGATTGTATTATCAAACATCATATTCTTTTGTGCCAGAGTTCTATTGATTTTTCTGTATTTGTAACGTGCATTTTCTTCTCGTTCAGGATAGCATCGAGAATTGGCACGTTATGTAAATGGGCGCATGTTGAAAACGGCTAATGGAAAAAACGCTGGCGATCCATCATAACTGTTTCAGTAGCGGGATGCTGCGTCGATTCTTCTTATTAGGAGGATCTCGCTAATCGCGCCCCACAGATCGATCCGGCGCGGCGCGACGCGCCTCCGCTCGATCACGGCAAAGTACCTCCTTCTGCACTCGTTGGCATGGTTCATCGCGGCAAGTTCAGTGAACGTATTACGAGTCGCGAATGGATCCGAGCGTAACGGAACGGTGTGGCGCGGCGCGGCAGCAGATGACCTTCGCGGATACGCGGCAAGTTTCACAAGTTACCGAGTTCGACCACCGAGATTGCACTTTGATGCTATCAAGTAAATCCGGAAGGGATCTACTTGAACGAGATCGTGCGTGCGCGTAATTCATCTTCGAGTTTCAAAGTCCTGACTATCCCGATAATCAGAAAAGAGGCCTCGATTTGTCGTAATTTTTATATTCTTAAATTATTATAGTATATTAATAAAGATTTTTATTTGTTTTTTTTGTTCGCTTTTGAGTTATTCTTATAAATACGTGTATTCGGCTCATAGGATCAATTTTGTCACTATTAAGTGATGCTGAAATCGCACTATATATGTGACACAATTTGAAGTTGACACTCGCGATCACTCGACTGCATGTGTAAAAATAAATTGTGCGTGCATCATTGACGCGAACGAGAGTAGCGAACGATTGGTCGACATGATTAACATTTTGGAAGCATTTTGCTCGCATTCGCGAAATGTGATACGTGTCATTACGTACGACACGCGAAGGCATTGTGGACGGAAGCGAATCGTAGAAGAGCACGCGTGTCCGTGTAGGTACCTTTTAATAATCGCTCGCGCAACACGCTCTGTTTACGTACGGTGGGCTATCCCCGTTTTGGCGAGTTTCCAGGCTAATTGCGAGCATTACTTTCCGAAAATGTGTCCGTTTCCGTGGTTGAATGCACCACGCGATGTGTCACGCGTGCAATCATTTATGACTATATCCGGAAATTGGCACGTGCCGTACAATGAGTAACATGATCCAATCTTTCATACATCCCTTTTCTTTAATAATAATAATAATAATAATAATAATAATAATACTTTATATATATATATACATATATATAAAATACCTTAGCAATTAAATCCTTGTCATTTTCACGATAAAGCAACAATCCATGCAAACCATTAATTAAAATTAGACTCAATAACTCAATCCGCATATTTGCATAGCTTATTATTGGCTCGCTCGTATTTGCACAATTTTTCCTCTTTTAAAGCTATGTAAAAAATGATCTTTTTTTATAAAGGATTTTACAAAAAGTCGCTTTCAGTCTCTCTTACAATTAGTTATTCGACTATAGATTGTCACTCACAACGCGATCGAATTCTCGTCGAGAAAAAAATCAGTGACAGTTATATTCGTCAAAACATCAGTTATGTATTGTATAAAATAGATAAACCGATTTCAAAGATCATTGTACACAATAATTTTACTATACTAGTTTATATTACTATTAACGTAGTTATAATAATACATAGTTATTAGTAGTTATAATACATATAGTAATAATTGTGTTGGTGATAGTTAAACGCATTCATTATTTCAACAGTTTTACTCTCTGTTACTTAATTGAGTTTTTTTGTGTATGAATTGACTCGACTGTTCGCGAATAATGATTAGAGATCGAAAGGGTATAAATAACAATTTTTCGCAGGCGTTCCCATGCGCCTCAGCAAAGAGCAACAGACAAGAGCGGCCACTACAGCTATTCGACACAGAAAACCTTAGCTATATAGCGGGATCGGCACGTGGTGGGCGAATACACGCTCACGTAAATGTATGCATGTATATGTATACGATAATTGATGCGACTAGCGAGTATCGCCTATCTTTCAGACGATCGACGTTTTGGTATGCAGTTAAACGTATGGCATGTGTAAAAAAAAGAATTGTTCAGCTCGAGAAAAAAACAAGAATTTCGTAATTGTCGATGTCCCTCGGTTATTTTGCGTAATCTGCAGCGACAGATAATCGGGTCTCCATTGAAAATTTTTAACAAGCTTGGCGAAAAATCAAAATTTTTAAACACACGTACTACATACACAAACATGCTATATATATACGCTTATAAAACATACACATATATTAAATATTATTTAAACTATCATCACACAGACACACTATATTTAGCTTTTTATTTATAATTAATACGTTTCGTACGTGCTGCATCAATTTTTAGTGACTTGATCACCACGCTGCATGTGGGTCATGTATGACCTACGATATTTTTATTTGTCAATTATATTTATTGTTGAATAACATGTATTTTATAATGGTTAAAAAAATTATAAGTCATATTATTATTTCATAAAGGAGGACTAATAATATACCAATAATGAATCGTATATACATTATAATTATGTGTCCACGCTGTGATATTATAGAAATATTAGGTGTAGTAAAAAGTGCTTTTGCTTTAAGTTTTGCATCGATCAGAGCATCTTTTCAAATTGAAATATTTTTGCGCCTTTTTGCGATTTTACCGTGCCGGCCTAAGGATTCGGAGAGCCCGGAGGTAATTGCAGAGTGTCAATGTTATCGACTTTTGACATTAATTTGCGAAGTATTTGAATAATACGTATTATTAAAATCATAATTTCTATTATATAAATGCTTTATATAAATAAGTATAAACATTTATAATATGCTTTTTAATATCATATATATATATATATACCTATATATATATTGTTGCAAAATTACATTTTTTTTCAACTGTTATACCATCTCTCTGGATAATCAAACACGGATGGTAACTATAAAAATGCAGTTTTAAATCAAATCAATCAAATTAATCTATTAGCAAATAGAATACTAATGAAATACAATTATGTACATACATGTCTAAAAAACATTGATCTAAAAATAAATTATCAAATTAATATTATATTATTGACTAATAATTGCTTAAATTTTAGTAATCACTAAACAGTCATGCTAACTCCCATAAGGATGTCGGTCTTTAATAGTATCTCGTTGATGATACAGTTATTCAAAAAGTTTCGGGACTGAATTTTTTCCGGACCATAGACTTATAAGATATAGATAGACTGTGCGGCCCCATTGAAAATGTAAAAGCAACATTAGAGAGAGGGCAATAGAAGAATCGCGATGATTTCTTTTTCTCGTTCAATTCTGCAATTGATTTACATAAGGTTTTCATTGGTCCAGCGATCTTTAAACCCGGAGCACATGAAATGCATAAAGGTCCATCTACAATGAGAGCAGTAAATCGTAAGCCGTAAGAAATTGAATAATCAGAGTCAAATATAAGAAGAATAATCGACTGTGATGGGTAAATTTTTTACAGCTTACGACTTACTACTTTGATTGTAGATGGACCTTAATAGAGCATAAGCCTAAAGCCCGTATCAGACTAAAGATTGAGATTGCGATTAGAATGGAATTTGACCAATTAAAACAAAGTTTACTAAATTTGAGATTGGTTTTCTTTCTTCTAATTGGTTAAATCCTAATTCAATCTCAATCTCAATCTTTAGTCAGATACGGGCTTAAGGCGGCTGGATCAATGAGTAGCCAGCATAAAGTCGCCATATTGATTAACATAGGATTCTCATTGGTCTAGCCACCTTATGCTTTGCTTATTCTTCATTATGCATTTCATGTGCTCCGGGCCTAATGCGTCCTGTTTGAACCAGCCCTTACGGTAGTTACGACAGGTTAAGATGTGACTTGATCAAATCCAAATCGAAAGGTTAACTTGTCGTGACAGGCATTTTCGCTGGTTTGTCGATTACATCTTTTGAGACTGCGGATACAATCGTATCACGAAAATGGAGTGCTTAATTGGTATTCAGTGCAAAGATTTTGTGTTAGTTGCGGCGGATATGACAACCACACAGTCTATTATAGTTATGAAAAGCGGTAAGATGTTTATCATATTTTATATTATTACAATTAAATCATCATTATGATATACCTACATATATATTAATATACGTGATGTGTTTATATCATAAAAATCATATTTTCTGTCACGTTATTATACGGCAATATATAACAATGTACCATCTACAATAGTTTAATATTTTCAATTTAAACTATTTGTTGCATTGTTGTTATCAACAATTGCCGTCACAACAATTAAATAATAATTTTGATGTTTTAATGCAATAATAATTATAAATTAAATATAGATTTAAAATTATTTAAATTGTTAATTTATTAATAAACATTTCACAGATGAACACAAAATTCATAAGATTTCGAACAAGCTCGTTATGGCAATATCTGGAGAATCAGGTGATACAACGCAGTTTTCAGAATATATTGGGAAAAATATTCAGTTATACAAGATGCGAAACGGCTATGAATTATCTCCTAAAGCTGCGGCTTGTTTCACAAGGAGAAATTTAGCTGATTATCTCAGAAGTAGGACTCCATACTTTGTCAATATGCTATTGGCCGGATATGATGATGATTCAGGACCAGAATTGTACTTTATCGATTACTTAGCATCCTGCGTAAAAGTTCCTTATGCGACTCATGGATATGGTGGGATGTTTTCTATGTCTGTTTTAGACAGATATCACAAATACGGTAAGACGCATTAAAATTATTAAGAAATAATATAGCGAACAAATCAATATCAGAAAATATCAACAAATAGAAACATTTTTTGCAGATTGTACTGAAGAAGAGGCGTATGCATTATTAAAGAAATGCGTTCGAGAAATTCAGAAGCGATTAATTGTTAATTTGCCAAATTTTAAAGTTCAAAAGATATCCAAGGATGGAATCAAAGATATGCAACCAATCACAGCTGAAAACTTGGCTGTGGAAAGTGCTGCTAAAGCATAAAAGAAACATTTACTTCTATATTTTGTGGTAGACAAGATATAAAATTCCATTATAGAAATAAAATATGTAATTGTAATTTGATATATAATATATATATATATATATATATATAATTATTAATAATAGTGATAGTAATTGATTACTTCTCATCAAATTATGAAAACATCCATACATTTTAATGTTTCTATCACTTGCGTGACACTTTAAGATACGCGCAAGAATGTACAAAATAATTTTTTGTTCAAAATTTAATAATAGAACATTTATACAAACTGAACAGATTTGTCAAACATGGAACAGAAAAATTTCGCAATGTAATAATATTACTTGTAATTTCTAATGACAGAAAAAAGTGATAAAAATAATTCTCTCTTATATTCAGAATTACAATTTTTAGTTTCTTTTAATAAAAAAAAATTATGCAAATTTAACAGATTTTTGTATATATATATATTATATTTCCAAATAAACATTTGTATTCATTTAAATCGTAAATATCCACTTCTTACAAATAAATATGTATTAGCATTTGTGTTCTACAATGGTGTACGTTTAATATTTCGTTACAATAATTTTACATATGAAATAACTTCTTATACTTAATATTAATTCATTTAACGCGTCGCAAGGAAACGAAATCATTTTTACATTCATTATTCATGATTATCACTCACACATGGTAAAAAAGTTATCAGAAATTCTAGAATATTAGTAAAAGCTTATGTGTAACTGGAATTGAAGTTGAAATTTATATCAAATTAAAAAAACTTAAGAATTATGCAATATACCGTAATATACCGCAAAACTTAGGTAGACTCGTATAGCAGTCTATCGTACACACCGTGTACGAAATATAAATCAACAATTGGAAGTATTTTTATTTTATTCTCTCTCTCTCTCTCTCTCTCTCTAAAACCTATTAAGCAACGAAACAATGAATTCTGCTTTAACATCGTTTAACATTTTCTAACAGTGCTTTCTCATTCATCATCTCGAAATGATGATTATCGGTACCATACATGAGTGATAAAGATTTTGCATGCAAATGAAACGGCGCTCTCGGTTATCACAGTTCTAAATCCTATGATGGATTCTTTCTTTGCAGATCGAAACAATATCCAAACGATATCCGTGAACGCTAATCATTGTGAATCATACACGGATATACCTTGCAAAGTATAAGCAAGATATAGTTACAAGCTATTGTATTTTACAATGCGTGATTGTACGTCTTGAGCATAAATCATAAACTATTACTCATTTTCTTTTTCATTTTCCATACGCACGATGAATTCGAAAGATAATTACAGGATAATGTCGCAAATTGCACAGCGTGTTCTTTGCAAGTCGGAATATTATTTATCCTTTTTTGCTTCTACTTGTGTCTGTTCTGATTGTTGCGCCGCGTTCGTAGGTGGTGACGGATGATCCTCGTATCTGAAGTATAATTAAAAAAATCTTTTCATATATATTGCAAACATAAAAAAACAGATGTAAAACCAAAAGATCAGAATTTACAAAATACTTACGAAAACAACGCTTTGAGATCTCCCTTGACTAATGCTAAGAGCAATGGCGTGCCTATACACGCAGGTACTAAATATAATAGAGCAGGTTGTGCATGATTAAATAAGTGCATGATCATCATGGTGGCTAGTAATCCCATAAAGTATGCAAAAAATGTCGAATAGAAGTAGACATTGGTCTTTCTGCTTAAACTGTTGTCAAATCGCAAGAGCAACGCGATAAAGATACCAGGCAATACAATGTCACCCAATCCCAACATGGCAAAATTACCAGCATTCAAACCCTTTTCTAAAAGATCCTGTGGAAACACAAGTTTAATGGGCACTTCAAAGGATTTTGCGACTGTTACCATTACATCTGTACCAAACACCCAAAAAGCATCGTAAAACAGAAGACCACATAGTAAAATGCATCCAGTCACAACATTGTTAAGATGTAACAATTCAACTCCATTAATGGCAAACGCAATGCCAAATAGGTTGTTGGCTATCCAATGCTGCAAAAATAACAAAACGCAAACAAAAATGTAAAAATATGTATCAATCTATGTTTAAATCTGTACTGAATATTTCGTTTACTTTTTTCAGAAGGTACCAGGCACCCACAAGAGAACAGCATACAAGGCATACAATGTCGTGAAGATTAAATTTGTAATTAATTATATGCTCTTCTTTATCATCCTTTCCTTTTGTAAATAAAATGTGATACTGCGTCTTTGGAATTGCAGCAGGTACTAACGATGAAATCAATGGGCTAGAATTTTTAAATTTTTAAGAATTTTTTTAGTACTCGTGTACAATGAAAATGGAAAAATTCTGATAAATATATCATTGAAATTACTAAAGATTTTTAATAACGTATTTATAATTATACAAAGCTTAAATTACCTTGTAAGATGACACAAGGCTAGAATACCAAGAAAAAAGAAATATCCAGCTAATATCAAGTTAACATATTCCTTTGCAAATACCTGTTAAAAATCATTTCAAGTAATATTTCATTCTACATTTATAATATTTATGTACAAATATTTAAATACCTTATATAATATATACAAGCCAACTAATGTAACACTGGAAATCAGAGGAAACATAGCAGCTTCTCTACGAGACATCGTGTCAGGCTGTTCACCACTTGTTTTATATAATTGCTACAAAACAGAAGGCGAAATAGTAAAAACATACAAGAGAAACTTACAAAATATATATATATATATATATATATATATACATAAATTTAATACATAATTTTGCAATTGTTTCACCGCCCTATTTCTACAGCTCTATCCCGTTGCGTTTCATCGTCATCTTATTAAATTTTGGATACATATGTTGTAACAAAATTTTTCGACGCTTTGGCGATTACATTGCCATCATTTACGGAAGAATTTTTCATCTTTCTTCGAACGTGAATTGGTCCTTCATAAAATTTAATATATGTATACATGTATATATACATAATGATTCTTAATTTTATGAAGAACGAATTCACGTTCAAGTGAAAAGATATTGTAAGAACGTATGTGTCAAACATATGTCAAAAAGCGTGTCTAACCTGCTGTTCCTTATGGTGCTTGACCGCACGATAGCTACCGAAAAAAATCGGTAGAATGGCCATAATAATAAGGCTACCGTACGCGATTGCCATTCCTTCGGGTGTCGACGGTACTCTTGCTGTTGTTACATTTTGATATTCCGTTAGGTTTTCATTCGCCTGTGCTATAACTCCATTCACCGAACTAGCCATCTTGAATACGTCGACACAAATACGAAGGCCCCTTCCTTCGAACTGAAATAAGAGAGAACCAGAGAGAACCTGAGAGCGGCCATCTGCGGCCAACGTGGTCTTTTCGTGTATAAATTTTAAGGTACATTTTCATGATAAGACTTAATTCTATTAAAACAAATAACGTGATCAAAATTGAACATTAGCGTCAATTTCGATCTTGTGATTTGCTTTGATGTTGAAAAATAAGCATCAGCATTCAGCATGAAAAGGATGTACTGACGAAAATTTAAAAAAATCGTGTTTGTTAAAATAAGTAAAATTAAAAGAAACTTAGGTTACTGGATTTCTCCGGATTAAAAATGATCAATCGCAATTTTTTCAGACAGAGAAAGACTCCCTCTACCACGTTCTATAGGCTGTTCACGTCGTAGTTCTATAGTTTCTTACAAACAATATATTTTGCGTTTCACATGATAAAAATCGAGCTCTACAGGCCAAACGAAAAGGGATAGAGGTTTTTATCAAGAATACAAATATGTTTCTTTCGTCGAGTTCTATAAGGGTAACTACGTATCGAATTTCATCTTTTTTTGGATTTTTTTTTCAAATTTTTGGAATTTTCGTTGAGTCGCAATTTTTCCTTACAGAACTTGTCGAGTAGAAAGGTCCTGTTCATGCGACCATGCGTCTATCTCGTACGGTTTAGCCGGAACAATTCGTTCAAAGTTTCCAAAATCTAAGTACAGGCGAACTTCCGTAAAAGTAACTTGTTGGGACCAACCATAGACTTATAAGATAGACTGCGCGCCCTATTGTTCTCGGTGGGGCAGAAGCTAAAGTGAGAGGGCTACACCCCGCACTTCTTTTGTCCTTGTTCAATCGTTCCGAGAATTCCGAGTCGGCACGGCTGACGGTGGCCGGCGCGGCGGGGGTCTCCCCTCTTTTCTTCTCCCCACCAACGATTGAACAAGGACAAGAGAAGTGCGGGGTGTAGCCCTCTCACTTTAGCTTCTGCCCCACCGAGAACAATAGGGCGCGCAGTCTATCTTATAAGTCTATGTATACAGGGTGTCCCAGAATTGGCGCATTCGGAGTACAGGACGTTATACTTTGTGCTAAAAGGAACAACTTTTTCCTTTAGCAAATTGTGATCTGACAAGTAATTTTGGCAGGAGAGCTGGTTAA